GCATTGCGTTTCTGTGAATTGCACTACTTTAATGAATTGCAATCTTAAGCTCCTCCATTGATCCTTTCTTTTTTCATTAAAATGATTAAGTCACATAAAATCCTAATTTTAAAAATTTCTTATTCTGTTTTTGTAATCATTACAGTTGTGTAGTATCACATTATTAATTTGCAGTGTAAACTGGATTTCTTTTCCCCCTTAGTTGCTCTCTCCAGAAGATTTAGTAAATGCGTGCAAGATGCTGGAAGTACTGAAATTACCTCTCAGGTAAAGGAACCCACAGGGAGTTTGCCATCTGTAATCATTCTATGTGGGGTATACTGGAAATCTCGGCCAAGTTTACCACCCTGGCTGGCAAGCCAAATATTGTCCTCTTAAAATTACGTTACATATGTGCAGAGTTCACCTGGTTCCACAAGTTTGCTGTCATCCTGGCTTCCATCCTGTCAGGGCTGGGTGTGTCCTAATGGGGCTCATAGTCAGACTTGGGATTTGCGGAAAGAAGATAAGAATGTGAGCTCCTCCCAGGTCAGAATAACCTTCCCAGTGGTTTGTGTGAGTCTCTGGAGATTCAGAAATGCACATGTTTAGCTCTTAATTACATTTTCCTTCTCAGGTTTAAAAAAAAAAAGTATGTCTTAATTGCTGTGGATTTTAGTTCATGATTTTATTACAGTATTTGTTAATTCATGCGCCCTTTAGTTCTCTACTTTCGGTCATTTTGTTTTAAGTGTTGTTTTGAGGTTAACATTGTCCTCAGGACTGGATGTAAAAGAAAGTTAAAAAGTATGTGGTTCTTCTTAGTGGTTGGATATTCTAAATGATTCATGACTTTGTTCTCACATCCCTGGTTTTCAGGCTCCGGGTGTTTGACAGTGGAGTCATGGTAATTGAGCTTCAGTCCCACAAAGAAGAGGAAATGGTGGCCTCAGCCCTGGAGACAGTATGTGAACCTGGTTTCCTCCAGTCATTAGAGCTTGCCACCAACACCCCAGTGCTTAGAGACTTGAGAAGCAGGATTTCCTGTTGGATTTAACACCCCTGTAAAGTAACATTCAGAGACTAAATTAAAACTGGCTTGTTATTCACAATGAATACGAATTAGTCATACTTTAAAAAGCTTTTGGAAGCTTATTGACCCCTTTAACATCTTAGAAGTAAGGAAAGTTAGAATTAGTGCGATGCTTACTTTTCTGTGCAAGCTCTGTGTTAGAACAGGTTTTTAACTTGTTAATCAGAATGCTGCACAGAATTAAACTTTTCTTTAACACCTACATAAGCACCATTATAAAACCAGAAATTGTTCTGTGAGATAAGTGCTTTACAAATAAGTAACTGTAGTTTAGATGGAATTTATTGGCCAAACTGCCAATATTACTCATTAGGATACCTAAAATATTACTGTTATAGCTTCTATGCTGAACCTGTATAATTTGAATACTTCACATTTATTATATGTCTCATTTTAAGCTACATGAAAACTTCAAGAATATAGATATTTCTACCACATATTTAAAATAAAACCTAGGGGCCGGGCATTTAGCTCCCGGGCACCACGCCTGCCTTGCAAGAGCAAGGTCCTGAGTTTGATCCCCAGTACCAAAAAAAAAGTTCTCTGTTCTTATAAGGGGCCAGGAATTTAGCTCAGTGGTTCTGCTGCCAAGGTCCCAAGTTCGAGCCCTGGTACCCCCCCCAAAAATAATAATAATAATAATAATTAAACCTATATATATTTGGGTCCTTTACTGGAGCAAGTAATAGCACACTCTTTAGAATTTGTTACATGATTTTTTCAGAACATAAAATGTCTTTTCTAGGTGTTATTACATTGCTTTGTGGCTCTTTTAACAAACTGCTCTATTTGTTGTGGGTCCAATTTTTGTAGAACTGAGCATCAATTAAGGTTTAGTTCTATAGTGAAGTGAATATTCTTTAGATTTTAGTAGAAAATTCAGTAAATTGTTTCCTGCATATATTGGTATATATTCTGCCTGTGGTTGGTACCTAGGTATCTAACTAGTCACAGTTTTTGTTCGTATTAGGTTTCAGAAAAGGGATCCCTAACATCAGAAGAGTTTGCTAAGCTTGTGGGAATGTCTGTTCTCCTGGCCAAGGAAAGGTAAGGACCCTGTGCTTCATTACAACTTGTGTTTTGTTTGTGAATGGGAAGATGACTGTTTTCTTTTCTTCATTCCTAGGTTGCTGCTTGCAGAAAAGATGGGCCATCTTTGCCGAGATGACTCAGTGGAAGGCTTACGGTTTTACCCAAATTTATTTATGACACAGAGCTAAGGGTTTTGCATTTGAAATGTGTCCATACACTTGTACCATGTAGCAATTGTATGACATTGAGCTAACAGGTAAAACCCTATAAACAGAATTCAATAGAACTTCACAGTATAATATGTAACATATTATATTACTGGAAGCTTATTTAGGATGTGTAAAGAAAATACAGAAAAATGAATGCTAGTATGAATTTAAAGTCATGCTATATCTGTGCAGATCCTTCAGAGTTTAATTTGAAACATGGTGGGTTTTAACTTGATCCCTATAGCTAACCACTTTGTAGAGAATTTAAATTCTTGGGGGAAGAAGAGAAGCAGCTGCATGTCTGAACAGGTTAGATTATTATTTTGGTGTTCAATGAATTAAAAATGTTTTTCTCTGTGTCTGATATGCCCATTTGGGGCAGGGGGTGCATGAAGGAGGTGATTGCTACAGGGTAGTTTAAGAATCCAACAATACTGGAACAAAATATGAAACTACAGAATGCTGTACAAAGCTCAACTAAGGGCTTTTCAAAGCAGTCCTAAGAATGTCTTCAACAGAGTAAATAGCACACCTTTAGAAAAGGATTGGTAGGGTGTGTGTTCCATCCTCAGCATAGGAAAAAAAAAAGACCTATAAACTCCAACTAGTTTCTTTTTATTTATTTTTTTTTAGTGATGATTTCATGGCTGGCATTTAAAGAATGCAGCTATATAATTTTGTTTAAAAAATGCTGTGGATTTTGAAGGTAGATTAAAGAACTGTATAGACATGCCCAGAGTTATGATTACAGATTTGGGAGGCAGACAGCTAGGAATTCCCTAGGATTGTTGTGCAAGTTGTACAGGAGAAACCAACTTCACAGGAACCTTAGCGCTTTTTTACCTGGAAGCCAAGGATGAGAAATAGAAAAATAATATAGCTCCTTTGCTCTCTCTTAGAAGAATCTTAACACTGAACTTTAAAAATCTTTGTAATATTCCAGCAATATTATATTCTTTGCCCTATACATTGTACATTTTGTAGAGAAACTATCTTGGTAAAACATGTTACTGAGAAAATATAAACTGGCTAATATCACCTGCAGATTGCTTGAATTTTAAAGTAGACTGCTGACTTCATATGTTACTATTCTCCAGTGTACATCGTGTTGGCATTACTCATACTCAGGGACCCACAGGACATACAGGAACTCCCTTTCTGAGACTGATTTGGGAGTAGAAAGGAAGTGGTGGTTGTTGCCAAGCCTCTGGAAGGGATAGTATCTGTACCGAGGGAGCCAGGGGACCCGGGGAGGGATGCCCAGCTGTATACTCTGGGACCTGTAAGACAGGGTTTCACTCAGTAAGGTGAAAGCCATGCAGGGCCACTGCAGATGCCCTCTGGGGAAGTGCTGAGGTCCTCAGCCACAGAGCCAGGGTGTCCCAACCCTGGTCCCTTTCTGAACAGTGGCTGTTTCTGCTTTGTGCCCTCCATTGTCACATGAATGCTGGGGCCAAGGCATTCTGCTTTAGTCTTCACTTTCCATACCTGTTACTGACTTTATTGTGGTGACAAATCCCCTAATTACCTCATTGCTCAGCCTCAGGTTTATTTGGGGGATAATTCAGTGAGTGTCTGGCTGCCCATTAGACCATTGTGTAAGTTTGTTTGTCTGAATTGCCTCTTTCTGGGTTGCACACACTGTCACATGGCTCTGGCAGACTTGCACACCCATACATGTGTGCACACACAAGACACACCCATCATATCTGGCTAAGCTTCCTGAAATTAACAGAGATAAAGGATCTTGTTTCACCAGTTGAAATCATTGCAAGGTCATTGGAGCTGCTGGATCTAGCTCTAATGGATTGGATTCATTATACCAAACCTACATAAATCAGCATATTTATTTACTTTAGTGCGGCAACAAATTAACAAAAATGGGGCAGTCTGAGTTACATAAAGAGGACTAAAGAGGAAGAAAAATGACATATGAATATAATTTGCAAATGTCACATAATTTAAAAAATATGATTTTTTTTTTGTTTTATTTGTTTGTTTGTTTTTTGAGACAAGGTCTCACTATGTAGTTGAAACTGACCTGGAACTCACTATGTAGCCCAGGCTGGTCTCGAACTCATAGCGATCCTCCTGCCTCAGCCTCCTGAGTGCTGGGATTACAGGCATGTGCCATCATGCCCAGCTTTGATTGATTTTTATTATTGTATTTTTTAATGGGCATTCACTGTTTCCAGACCTCTGTATTTTTATTTTTTGCCAAATGAGGTGTTATTTTGGTCCTTTTTTGGTAGAGGTCAACCAATCAGGCCTTATAAATGCAAAAAAGTTCTGTCTTGGTGCTTCTCTCTGGTATAATTATTTCTGTTATTCCTAACTTTGCTCTTAAGAGCATGAAATTCTTTGTAGCTTTATGGTAATAGAATATTTCTAGTCACTTACTATCAAGGATAATTTTTTTACACTGTATAAGTGAAGGTTTTCAGGCTTAACTGATTGGTGTTAATGTATATAAAGTAAAATTGCAAAATTTTAAAATGATTTTCTTAGTATTTTTAAAAATACTCTGAAAAATAAATCAGAATGGTAGACATTTAGTCATACTAAGCCAGGATGTAAGAATTTTTCTTTTAAATTTCATAATTAAGCATTGCTTATAAATATTTATAACTTTGAAGTCTTACAGTTTTAATTACCTTTTAAAAATGGGAAACGAGGCATGGACTGTTTCTTCTTTTTTTTTTTTTCTTAAAATTCTTGATGTGAATTCCACTGTGGACTGATTGTGGATGTGCTGTATCTTGTTCTTTGTTACTAGACCAGGCGGACCAGACGTGAATTTATCATGTTAATTGTTCTCATACTCACATCCTTAAAATGGTTCTCTTTTGACCAGCAATTGCAGAGACTTCATTTGGTACAGTGGAGTCACAGCTTGTAAGATGGTTAGGTTTTAAAGACTGCTGAAGGAAAACATTAAGCATGCTCAAAAGTGATCTTTTAAGTCTCTTAAATTGCCAATAAAGTTCCCTCTAATGGGCTGAATCCCTGTGGACTGATAATGTAGGTCTGAATATATCATGCAAATAATAAGTACAATGTATAAGAAAACTGCATATCACCAGTAGATGTTTCTAGTATTAATAATTACGCAGTTTAAATGTGTGTGTTGTTTTGCCAGTAGGTATTGTTGGATTTATGTAAATGTATTGCTGATCATATCCCAATCTAGAGTGTAAGCTCCACAAGGGCAGAGTTCTTTTCTTCTTTGTTCATGAATATATCTCCAGAGCCTAGAACAGGGCCTGGCTCACATTAAGCATTCAATAAAGATTTATTCAATGAATGAGCTTTGATATATATACCTGTTTATACTGTGTCTCCATTTTATCCTACTTTAGCTCTCATTCAATTCATAAAACCATTTTTTATACTACATACAGATTTTGTGAGGAACTTTGTGGAACTCGGCCCTGGGGAAGATACAAAGGTGAGTAAGATACAGCCTGCCCTTAAGAAGGTAGCCTCATTGCAGAAACAGACACAAAGCACCTTTTTTTTGTTTGTTTGTTTTGTTTTGTACGGGAGATCAAACTCAGGACTTTGTGCTTGTGAGGCAGGCCACAACACCACTGAGCTAAATCCCTGGCCACAGAGCACCGAAGGGTGAGTGGAATAAGTGCTCTAGTAGGGGCACAAGGATGTGGAGCATGGAGGAGCCTTCAGTTCTATACTTGATCTTAGCCAAAAGGCCGAGAAGCGATAGGAGCCTTCAGTTCTGATGGGCTCTTGAGGCTTTGTCAGAGAGGAAGGGCCTGGTAAACTAGGCTGACAAAAACAAGTGTCCCTAAATGAGGGCACTGGGTCAAGGAAATAGCATGAGGTGCCCCCTTGTCTGTTCGGACTTCCTTTTTTTTTTTGGTATGGGGGATTGAACTTGGGACCTTGTGCTTGCGAGGCATGTGGTAGAACCACTGAGCTAAATCCCAACCTCCTTTTATTACTTTTTTTCACTCATGCACAATAATCCAAATCATACCCTGCTCAGTCCCACCAGCTCTAGATAAATCCATTGCACAGCCCTGCTGTTGCTAAACCGTAAGAGTTATCTCTTCATATACTTGATTATATTTTGTTTTATTCTTAATTGTCTTCATACCATAAGAAAACAAATTAGTTTTTTTTTTAATTTTTTTATTTATTTTTTTCAAATTAGGTTTTTTTTTTTTTAAGTGCAAAAATTTATAGCACTTCTGAATCCTCAGTGTCCAGGGTTAGTGATTGTATATGGTAGATTCCTAGTTGAGTTCTAACTGATGTGAGTGATGGATTAAAGTACTTTCATCTTGAGTTGACTAACAGACCCAAATGTGTCTCTTCACTGTTATCTTTTTCTTTTTTTTTGGTAGTGGGGAATCAAACTCAGGACCTTGTGCTTTTGAGGCAGGCGGTGGAACCCCTGAGCTAAATCCCTGGCCCTGTTTACTATTTTCCTAAGATCAGATGACAAATCAGATTTGTCGTGGTTCAGCCTGCCTGAGATCTGCGCTATCTTAACTCATATTTGAAGACGTAGCCACATCTGTGATGTGGGTAACACTCCAATAGTCAGTTCACATACCCATAAGATCTTGTTCTTATAAGCTATTATTACAGTGTGAAAATTGTGTCATTCATGTTCTTCCTTGTGTCCTGATAGGAAATTATGAGTCAGTTATGGCTTTCATCAGAGAATTACCTTGGGAAACAAAAGAGATCTCCCTGTGAATACAGGGAGATATTGATACAGGCAGTTATCGAGTGTAGACATTTTACATAATTTGCACAGATCACTAGCCCAGTTGCTGTTCCAAAAAGAATTCAAAGTATCTTGAGAGTCAGTTTTTAGTTCAGACCTTTCTTGTGCAAACATTTTCCCCTCATTCTATGTTGTCTTTATTTTTAGAAAAGATTAAACTGTCTGTTTAATACAGTAATACAATTTGGCAATAATTTTAAGATAAAAATGATCAAGCATCTCAAGCTATTTAAAAAATGAAGCCAGGCATGGTGGCACACACCTATAATCCCAGCACTCTGGACGCTGAGGCAGGAGGATCACCTCGAATTCAAAGCCAGCCTGAACTACACAGTGACTTGAAGGTCACCCTGAATTACATGGCAAGACCGGTCTCACCCCCTCCCCATTACCAAGCATATCAATACAGCCACTTGTACCTGGGTTTAGATTCTCCACCCCCAAAGGATGGATCTGTGGGAAAAATGTCTTTTAAAATATTCACATATAAGTTGCTTTCTACATGTTTCACTTAACACTTTACTAAAATAGTATATGCCTTTTGTGGTGAAGAGAAGGAAGGAAAAGTAATTTACTTAGGATTTTAGGAAGGGCTGGAATTTAATCCAGCTTTGTCTACTTCTAAAGCCCTCTCCACTGAGCTTTTGCTTTTGGGGACTATGCGGCATATATTTGAAAAGGAATCCTAGCTAGTTGATGTACGGATATTAGACTAGTTAATTATGCTGGTAGTGAAACTGGACGATCTTAAAGCTTCCTTTGAAACTTGGATTAGATGGACTTCATTAGTGGTGCTAGTATTAACTATTTGAGCATGTAAGAATTTAGAACATTTGGTACCTATGATACATAAGTAACTGTGCTACCTTTTAAAAAATGAAGTGACCAAAGATCTGCAAATGGCATATTTTTAAACGTTTATAAAATTGGAATGAAATATACAACCACACAGCTCTTAAGTGGAGTTAAAACAGCAGATCAAGTCCACGTAATTCATCCCCTAACCGACAGAACACGTGTCACCCCTGTAAAGTTCCCGGGTGCTTCTTCCCAATCATTAGCTCTCCAGGGGCTGAGCACTGATCTCAGTCACCACTCACGAGTTTGTGTGTTAAATGGTATGTTTTGGGGGGAAAAGAAAGCAAATGTTAAACTGCAATGCACAGTAGTCGACAAGCACAGCTTGATAATGTGAAAGTCTGTCCTCTCCTTTTAAAGACAACTTTAACACTTGCATAGTTTTGTTTTTAAATATTCAGGTATTTTTAATTCACCAAATCTGGAAAAAACCGAAAGATGCACTTCACCTGAACTGTGTTCTTTTGCAACCCTTCAAAGACGTGGAAAATCAAATTTACAGCCCACACATTATGGGACCTCAGTGATTTTTCTTGTGGTCTCAGAAGAAAATGACACTGGGGTAGAATTGATTTGAATCCTAAGCGACTGCAGCCTCGCCCTTAAAATCCTGGGTCGCGGCCGTGGGCTGAGGAGGGCTCTAGTGAGCCCTGGGGGGATCCGAGTCTGCGGGGGCCGCACCCCGTCTGCCCGGCAGCGTTTCCTGCCAGTTTCCTGTCCTGCAGCTGGCG